CCCCAAAACCCCAAAACCCCAAAACCCCAAAACCCCTTTATATTAACAAAAACTTTGTAAAATTATTTCTAATACTTTACTCCAAAAAGATGAACTTACGCACAACTGAGTATTTACCAACCGATGGGTACAAACATCCAAGGAGGCAACACATGACTTACTTTGAATACCTCTGAGATTTTGGAGTCCTTTCCTCCCAACAAGGCTCAAAACTCGAGCAAGAACTTAGGTAAGCCCATTATGTTAAGGATTACGGCTAAAATATCATTTAGAAAACAAAATTTGGGTGCCAGAAAGGAGATTCTCGTCGATCTTGTAGCCCAAGACTTCTCCCAGATGAACTTCAGTCAACTTTGGCACTTTTCCAACAGGCTGTACCAAAAATGGGCACAATATCACGATGGTCACTTTGAAGACAAAGCTCAGGGTACTTAATCTCTGCTAATATCCATAATTACATCTGTTTTAGGACCAGAATCATGCAGGAAACATACCTGTGACGAGAAGATGTCAACTGGATTAACTCAATCTGTTGAAAGGTACTTTGATTACCCATCAGTTTCCATTAACCACCAAATCTAGAAACGCAACAAACAAGGAGGAGTCCCTTGACTTTGACGAAAACTGTGATGGGCTTAACTAAGATCGAAGATTACCACTCTAAATCTCTGATGGTAAGCAATATGTAAAGTCACATGAAGAAACGAATAATTCCCCTTCACAAAATTTGGTTTCACCATCTCTCAGTTTGACACCATTGAAAATCTATCGGAAATCTCCTTGTGCGATGCTTGGTTTGACATAAAATTAGTGCTTTCGAGTACCAAAATATTAGAACCTGCCTTCCCTGACCTTCAAAGAGGAGCAAGCTTTGAGTCTCTTAGAGAAATTTAAACAACTTTGCTTCTACAGAGGCTCAATGAGTCTCAATAATGTCAAACATTTGAGAGCTGGAATCCTATATCCGCTACTTCACCGAGCCAAACCTAATCTTGATAGCCCAATGAACTATAACCTCTGAGAGTCCTGAGTTACAGCTTTGAGGAAGTATACTCTCCAAAAGGAGATAAAGTTCCTGCGGAGACACTTAAAGCTCTTAGCGACCCATTACCTTTAAATCGACTCAAAGTAGCTTTATTTAGTTTTATTTTTACAGCCAAGAATGCATTTTCCAATGATTATGAGGGGTTTCTAAATCATTAGCTAGCTGGATAAATCTCCATGGTCTTGAGAGTGATACCTCCCCTATCTAGAGTAACACAACGGAAAGTGATCGATACAGTCAAATTTAGAGTGGCATCTTAAGCTAAGATTTTGGAAGCTTTAAGTGAATTAACGAATTTTTCATATCTTACTCACCTTAAACAGTTTTCTACAATTTCTAAATATACTTAAAATCATTGGTAACCTAATGAGAAAGATCAATTCGATAAGATAATTTAACGATGTCTCTCAAAATCTATATCAGAGGTTGTGATCTTGAGAAGCACAGCTTATCAATACCTCAGTAAACTATGGACTCTTATACATTTCCTCTCACCCTATTTTTGAGTATTTTCACTATCAAAAACTTCTTGAAAATTAATTCTCATTTATTTCTCTAGCCAAGATTTCACCAAGACATTCCAGTCGCCTTCAGTGAACGGACAAATAGTTTCACAGAAGAGCTTATCAGAGAACCTGAAATCTCAAGCAATGAGTCACCTGAAAAACTTATGCGAACTAGCAATGATACGAAATCAATGCCCAAAAGCTCTCAAGAGGAGTACAAATCCTCTGTCAGCTCTGCAGAAGGAGAGATTGCTCCTAAATCCACTGAAAAAGACAAGAAGCATGCTTGAACAAGTGCTGCCAAGAAGAAGAAAAAGCCGTTCTCCCTGAAGAGCACCGACTACAACCTCCCTCTTCACAGTGTCATGAGCTCAACTAAATCAAAGCACAAGAAGAAATTCGTGATGAAAAAGAAAAGTAAAAAGACAGGCCTCAATGAAGAGTGTACATTTGAGCCAAAACTTAGCAAGAACCTCCTCTCTTCTCCCAAAAAGGCAAAGATGGCTTCTTCAATTGAGAAAAATTGGAAGAAAAAGGGACATATCCCAACTAAATTAGCTAGAGAACTTGAAGACTTGAAGGAGTGTTCATTCAGTCCTGATCTATCAAAGACTCAGCATGCATACCTAAGCCCGCCTTGTGGCACACCTCGTTTTCAGAATCTGCACTCAAAACACAAGAACAAAATCATCAAGCTAGCCTCTAGGTCTAGACAGAAGAAGGAAAGTGAACTTCTTGAGTGCACTTTTATCCCAAAAATCCAAAACAGCTACATGAACGAAACGAAATACCAACATCACTGCCATAATGAAAGGGAGAAAGCCAAAAGAGGTCATTCTGTTAAGACCAACAGAAAGAAGTTGCTCGAAGACAGTGTCTCCACTCTTCACGAGAGGCTCCATCAAGAAGGACTGACTGCAAAGCGAAAGCGACAAAATGAAGTAATTTTCAAACAAAATTTACCTGAAAATTGCACCTTTAAGCCTGACAGGAAATCAGAGCTAGAGTTCAGATACTCTGAAGAGTTCAAAGAACCTCATCTTAGACTATACAATAATTACTTTGAAGTGCAGGAGAAGCTATCTTGCGCTAAAGAGGATCGTAACCAGAACCTTAGAGCAATGAGTGAAACACAAGAACGATCAAACATTAATGTATCAATCACCAACAACTACATAAATTCTTCTGTAAATTTCAGCACACGAGGAAGATCTGTGCATGACGGTACTTGTAAATCTAACCTATACAGTGCATTCTAAATTGCATGAGTCAAACAAATTCAAAGAACGAGACAGGAAATCCCTTGAAGCTAGAGTAAATGTCAATAATAACACCACAGATCAATGAGGAAGCAGGGATCATTTTCAGACCCCAAATCAACAGCATTCAGCCAAAATCCCAGAAGCATAAGTTCTCCAATAGCTTAGCTACTATCAAGTCTGAACAAGAGTCTCAAGGGAAAAGCCATAATTTTAAGCCTGAAATAAGTAAGTGTTAGAAAATCCAACATTTCCCAACAAAAAGTATCGTCTGTAGTTCTGTATCACGACTTAATCCTTATCTAGGCGAAAGATCCAAAAGGTTAGCCAACAAGTATCGAAAATAAGAAGAAAAATATCCCAAAACCAGCTAAAAATAGCTCTAAATAACAACCAATCTGCTTGCTCAGAGAGACTTTTCCTAGAGTACAACCAACTTGAGAAGAACAGGGAGGTTCTCACTCAAAAAGTTCACAAAGAAGAGGCCAGGGACTGTACCTTTGCTCCTGAAATTAATGACATCTCCTCAATTGTAATGGAACGGAAGAATGCAGACAAGAAAGCACGAAAACAGACCTTTGGATAATATTAGAACATTTCAACCTCAATCTAAATATTGGGGTTTTGGGGTTTTGGGGTTTTGGGGTTTTGGGGTTTTGGGGTTTTGGGGTTTTGGGG